CTGTACTTTTATTATATAATATTTTTCAATAATTTTTATATCAATATGCTACATGTCCATTACTTTATAACTATGTAAAATTTCATTAAAATCCAACATGATTAATCCTTATTCCGATACCTCCTTTCAAAACAATTTTCCTGAATATCCTATTACAATTCATTTTTATAAATTTCAAAACAATTTTTCCTGAATATAATATTACAAAGCATTTTTATTAAAATTAAAATAATAAATATTCAAATAAATATTTCCCAAAAATTTACCAAACATTTAGTTCATGGTGTCACACAAATAGTAGCCCCTCTATGCCTCCTTAAACCCTTATAAAATGTCTGATATTTCCTCTTAAGTTTGTAAAGGATAAAATTACAATCAAATAATATCAATTAAACTAATCATGTTGCTTGGGTCAGCGCGGCCTGGACAGTCGTTTATTTGGTAATTTAATATTGTCACGTGTGAACCCCTTACGAGGCTTTCTTTCCAAAGGTTGATTGGGTCGATTGGATCGCAGGTGTCCTGAGAGGCTGTGTACGACCTCCCGGTGTGCCTTCCGGTCCGCACTCTTTAGTTCCGAAGGCGAAAGCAGCATGGTCACTGGCCAGGTATAGGATAGAGTCGCCCACGTCCTCAGGCACGCCTATACGCCCCACCATGGTTAATTTTGCACATGCCTTAAATATCTCTTCAGCGCTTTCTTTAGGCTTTCCCATTGCCGCTAAAATTCCAGTGCGAATATAACCACAGCTAATGTGACCAAGGTGTGGTTTAAATTAATACTTGTTGATATTTTCTTGTTTGTTATTCTTAATGAATGTAAACTAACTTGATGGCATTAACTCGTATGCCTTTGGGTCCCAACTCTGTAGCCATACATTTGGTGAACATATCCACCGCACACTTTGCCATACAATATGCTGAACAACCATGGACCTATTATAATAAGTAGTAGTTATAAAATATTATATTGTATTTGTTTAGTGTTTTTATCAAATAAAATATTATTAGTTGTGATAATTATACGAACGGCTATTAGTCCGCCGAGACTTGAAATGTTGATTACATTGCCTTTGGTTTTCTCCAAATGCTCGACACATATATCTGATAGACCAAAATGAAACGTATATCTGAAAAGTTGCTTTTATTTCTTATTGAAACATTGCTTTTCTGTAAAGTTTGAAATTTACTTATATTAAACCTTATAAATTTCAAACTTTACAGTAAAGCAATGTTTCAATAAGAAATAAAAGCAACTT